AGGGGGGGGGGGGKAAGATTATCCGGAAATCCGGATGATAAAAAAGGCCAAAAAAAGAAAAGAAAAGAAGGGAAAAAAAGTGATATTGTGCATGCAAAATACAATAGAACTAGGTTCCTATTTCATGAAATAAGCTTGATAGGGCATGGAAGGGTTCAAAGGGGGTAAGATAGGGAATAAAGGGGTTTAGAAGGGGAATGCTTAATTCATTTTATAAAATTTTAATCTAAATATATATACATTTTTTCTGTTTTATTTTTTATCTTCATATCTGTTGAGATATCAAAGATGGCATACAAACCAAAAGTTGTTCGTATCATTAATATGAACAACATACTTTTTTTCCAGATTTTTCTGATTTGTTTTTTTCCGGTTAGAAAAGAGTATTTTGCGCAGGGCCGTTTTTTCCTTTATCCTGAATTAATCCGGCGATTTCCTCCGTATCGAAAAATTCTGGATAAAATTTATCTACCGGATATCCGGATTTGCTACCGAGTATATATATATCACAGCCCCTCGTTTGTTGTCCTCTTCTCTCTCTCTGCCTACGGTTTACCGGGCAGTTCTGTTTGTGACGATATATGTATATATTCTTGTGACAATGCATGTATATATATCCGATTCACAGTGTGACAATATATCTCTGCCTGCGGTTTACCGGGCAGCTCTGTTTGACTATATATAGTCAAACAGAGCTGCCCGGTAAACCGTAGGCAGAGAGGGAGAAAGAAGAGGACAACAAACGAGGGGCTGTGGCAAACTGTTTCGTCGGAGTTTCACCGACTCATCAGGAGGCTGAACCCTCAACAGTCTGTAGAATGCCCTAGCCTGATGATTACACACTGTAAGTGATAATCCACCTTAACCCCGGCTGTGGTTAAGCATCAACGACTGCCCGACAAGTGATACCCCTCTGAGGTGGTGGGGACCACCAACCACTGCCCTCAAGGTACCTGTGGCGAAAATCAAAGCAGACTATCACTCACCCACCCCAGCTTAGAAAACTCTACAGACTGCGGGTTCACACTCACATCCCATCACAAGCCAGCAAAACACCCACAAAACAAAGAAAGGTCTGTCACAGCCAAAAAATGCATCCGTTACAATTGGAACGATACAGAGAAGATTAGCATGAAAAAAAAAAATGCACTCCAGACATGCCGCTGGCACTAGATGCACAGCATGGCCGCGTAGTGACTGCCCCATTTCCTGTCGCTCGACCTGAACGGAGAAAACCGTAGCAGGGTGCTAGCGAAGCGGTGGTATATACAGTCAAACAGAACTGCCGTGTAAAGGGTAGGCAGAGAAGGAGATGTCTGATTGTCTGTTTGGGAGTTTTTTCTGTTTTGCACTTGAAAAT